GGTAAATGGCAGAGGTAAGAGACATTCCTTGATTCCTTTTATTCTCTCAATATCTAATACGTTATACAGTCGGATTTACCGGATCGGGACAAAGTATGCGAAAGGATCCGACGAGAAGTCGTCATATATACCAAACCAATGGTGACGAGGAGGGTTTCGCGTAAGAGGAAGTAGGGGAGGGGAGGGGAGGAGAGGGGAGGGGAGGGGCTACTCTCTGCAAGTATAGGTGTTCAGGCTGGATTTCCCTTTCTATTTTTCATTTTCCTTTTCTTCAGCATCATCATAGGCAATTTGATGTAGGCTGACATAGGCTTTGCGTATGAGGACTGGAATTTTGGATGCTTGTTCTTCGAATGAACCTAATTTTCTACCAGTATTGTTACCGAATGACAATGAAACATGCTAAAGATCGCTTTTGAATAGGAAACCTGAGCATCACGGGCCTTTTGGGGGCTTTCTGTTTTCACCTGACCTTGAATCAACAGTCCAGGTACGAAAATTTCTGCACCGCACTTGATACTACGATTTCTATGGCTCTCCTTTAATTTCGTTGCCCCTCCAAGTTCCTTAGCTTTACAATGCCTATATCGTTTGTTGCTCGCCACTTGACTGTTGTCATTCTGGTCTTAATAAACACTATCAGAACAAGCCGATCTTCTTTCCTACAGCTTCCGTGATTGACATAAATGCTTTTGCTCTTTCGCTCTCGGGCTCCGCTACGACGGTTGGTTTTCCCCTATCCGCGTCGTCGCAAATACTCGCATGTAATGGTATATCTCCCAGAAAATCAATTCCGTGCTTTTCACAAGCATTAGTAACCCCCGAATGCGATCCGAAAATATGTGTACTATTCTGACAATGTGGACATGTGAATAACGACATATTCTGTACCATTCCCAGAATTGGAATATCGATCTTCTTGAACATGTTGATACCTTTCACTGCATCTTTAAGAGCTATGTCTTGAGGTGTCGACACAATTACCGCTCCTGAAAATGGTTAGCATCTTCAACCAACAACAAGAATGCCCATACCATCCAGTACGATTTGCTGTGTTATAGTCAATTGAGTATCTCCGGTTCCTGGTGGCAAATCGAGAACCAAAACATCCAATCCACCCCAGTCTACCTCGTGTAGAAGTTGCTGTAGTGCCTTCATGACCATCAATCCACGCCACACAACTGGTGCAGCATCACCCACTAGGTAACCCATTGACATGGATTTGACGCCATAATTCGAGAGTGGTATAAGTTGATTGTCTGCCGCCCAAATATCAGACGTGTCCCATATATCTCATTCAGACCAAAGACGCACTTGAGGATAATCTAGGCTCTCCTGATAAATTCAATAGTGTTGGTATTGAGGGACCAAAAATATCTGTATCTAGAATACCACTTCTTAGACCACGGCGAGCAAAGGCGAGTGCAAGATTGGCTATCACTCAATCAGTAGTTGTTTTCATGTAGATATCACACTGATTTCGAACCAGAAAGCGTCGACTTTCCAACTCCCCCTTTCGCAGATGAAACTGCAATCACTTTCTTTACATCTTTTATCTTTCTTCGTTCGGGCAACCCACGCTGCATGCGCGGAATACTACCCGTTCGTGGTAATCCCTGGTATGCGTCAATGAAGAATCTCTCATCTAATCTCCTTTGAATAATGGACTTTTACATACCAATGGATTCTCATGCTGTAGGCTCCGTAGGGTAGAGAATAATCGTTGTTTCATTTTATTGCGATGTTTAATTGAAGCTTCAATGACAATGCGACGAGAGCTTAACTTTTGAGCGGATATGCACCCGCTAGCGCGCCAAGATTTCGTGGGGCGGAAGCTCCAAAATAATTTTTTGGATCGAAGTTCTGCGGAAAAACAAAACTTCTCAAAGTTTGAGGTAAAAACAAACAATATGGCGAAATCAAAGAATTTGGCAAAACAAATCAAGGAATTGGAAGATCCTATTCCTCAGGGTAAGTTTGTATTCTTGGGCAATTACCACAGAGACAATTTTATTGACTTGGGCTTCTTTTCGCAGATTTCGATCCAGAAGATGATAAGCCGGCGCAAGAGAGCGATTCGGAAAGTGGTGATGAGAGTGATGATGGATTGGCGGGGACAGAACATTATGTTCAAGTTGGGTAAGGAGTCTCTGTTTTATCTTCTTACAGTGAAGCTTTACTAATCAAAGATTACAGAAAGAGCAAGCTTCGAAAACCAGAAGAAGTCGCACTTGGCCCTCAGTATGCCGGATCTCGAGTCACTCGCGAACAATTGATGAATGGCGATGATGAAGATGAATCCAACTCTGTATATGAAAGCGCTGATGAAGAAGCAAAATTCGAGGGAATGGAGTTCAACGGGGAATTTGACGATGTGGAGGTCGATAGTGATGAGGCTTTGGCAGAGAGCGATGAAGAAAAGTTCAAGGATTTCGTCTTCCGAGGAAGTGGAAAGCCGAAGAAGCCTGTTGATGCGAAGAAACCATCGGATGTCAATGGCGTGAAGAAAAGACCTACTGCTGCCGATTTCATGTCGGATAGTGGTGAGGAGGAGGGCGTGAGATTATCTGAAGACGATGATGACGAGGATGATCTTGAGGATGAAGAGGGAGATCAAACTGATGAAGATGTCTTGGATGTTGATGCTCAACATGCCGAGGCCATGGAAGAAGATTCTGACGAAGAAAATGATGATTCGGAAAATCCTGACCAGAGTGATGAGGAGGAAGTTGGTAGTGATGAAGAGAGTGAAGAAGAAGCATCCGGCGACGACGAAAACGATGAAGACGAGCAAGCAAGACGTGCTGAATTGCGAAAGATTATGGGGGAAGAACAGAAAACAGTTGTTGCAACAATCTCTCAAGCAGCAAAAGCAGATGCAGAGAAGGGTAATGCTGTGAAGCAACAACGCAAAGCATTCGATTCCCTTCTCAATGTCCGCATTCGCCTTCAAAAGGCTTTAGTAGCTACCAACTCGCTAGCTGCAGCCGATGACAAAGATCAGGAGGATGGTGAGAATCCTTTCCAAGCCGCAGAAGAAGCTGCTCTTAAGTTATGGAACACAATCGATGGGCTTCGACACGATCTTTCAAAGGCGGCCAGTACGTCCAAAACAGGACAGAAACGGAAGCGCGGCATTGAATCCGCCACCTCCTCTTCTGCCATTTGGGAGCGAATGCAAGCTTCCGAGATTGCAAACATCGACAATCGACAGACTGTCCTTGAAAAGTGGTCTAGCAAAGTCCGCGCTACAACAGCCCTCCCTATCTCCCGCAAACTCAACCCTAACGCACCCCAACAATCCATCACTTCTCTTCTCCAAGATACACTTTCTAGTTCTGAACATCTCATTTCTCGCACCAAGGTCCCTCGCTCTTGCGCTCCTGTTCAAAAACAAATGAAGCTTACCACTGATCCAAACATTTACGACGATGCCGATTTTTACCAGCTGCTTCTCAAAGAATTGCTTGATCAACGAATGGTTGACTCTTCTTCTGCAGCTGCTGGTGAAGCTGGTAAACCAATGCAATGGACTGCAGTGAAAGAAGCAAAGACAAGAAAGAATGTTGATACCAAGGCTAGCAAGGGTAGAAAAATGAAATTCACAGTTCACGAGAAGTTGCAAAATTTCATGGCGCCGGAGGATAGAAATACGTGGGAAGAAAGCGCGAGGGATAGGTTTTTCGCAACTTTGTTGGGTAGGAAATTAGATCTGGGTGAGGGCGGTGATGAGGAGGACGTTAGTGATGATGGAGTGAACAACGAAGAGGCGGGTTTGATGTTGTTTAGATCTTGAGGTTGAGTTTGTTAGGCAAGAATGGTTTAAGACATACAGGTATAATAAAAGTTCGGTGATAGATGCATGGACACATAGCATAGCATAGCATAGCATAGGAGCTTACTTGGAAATTAAATAATACCAAAAAGAATGAACATTTTGCATAAGTGTTTTTCTAACCATCTGGCTCACTGTCGCAAAACATGATGACGAAGAGAAGTATCTACTACTAAGTTTCTCAACTCCAAGCTTCCCTTCAAACAACAAAAACCTAGAATTTTCCCAACATATCATCCCAACTCCATATATCGGGAGATACTGAATAAATATATGACTCTATTCGTCTAAACTCACTCGAGAATCCAGGGCCCGTTCCATGAATTCCAACGAGGAGCCCCCTATTCATTTTCCTCTTTTGTTGCCAAAATCAAAGTGAATTATGACACAGCGTCTGGTAACGTCAAGCACCGAGTCTCTCCTCTCCTCTTCTCGACTCAACTCTACCCCTTCCGGTGAGCTCTCATGTCTTAACCATATACTCTCTACATACGACCACACCCCCAACGAGCATGACCTTCCCCATTCTTTCAAATTAGAGAATCACTCTACAGGTATCTCTTCAGCGACCTTTCCCCCTGCGCTAAGTAATTTCCTTCCCTCGAATTTCCCATGCGTAGGTTTCTCATTCTCGTTCACACGTTACCAGACTATAGATTTGAAATTCGAGATTCCACTACATCGTGGTCGATATTGATTTTAAGATTCCGCTTTTACAATTCTCCCAAACTCACCTACCTACCTACCTACCCACCTACCTTGATTGGTACTCATCACCATGATTATCTAAAATGACTTCCTTGCCCCTTTCTCAGTCGCCAATTCACCATCATTGTCTAGCCCCAAATCACTCAATCAGATATCACGCAGGGAATTTCGACATTTGTGTGTATACATGCTCGCGAGTAAATCCATTATGCTAATCAAACACTCATTCTAAAGGTCCACCATCCCACCCATCAGCCAGGAAGCAATTTCAAAATATCAGGAACCATATTCGATCGAGGGATTTCCTCGCCTAACCCATGCACGCAGGCCCTATAAAGTTCAAAACTCCATTCCTTTATTTATATCAAGACCCTATTCCATCCTGCCCATTACTTATCACCCCCCAGTCCACAAATACAAAGCTCAGAAGCCAAATTGGGTTTCCAAAACTCTCGCACTAATCCGCACTTCCACTGCCCTCGAAACTCTTCTCCCATAAGCTCCTCAAGAGCGCCGCAACATTCTCCTCATCCAATCCACTACCACCATCCCGATCAGTATCACTACTCCTCTCCTCTCCATCATAACTTTGTCTTACTCCCTTCCTCGCATTCCCATTCCTTTCCTTCAAACTACCCGCTCGACTCACACTCGCACTCTTACTATGCCCATGACCATTTCCAAACCCTGGGATATTCTTGCCCCCGTGCCCAAGCTCTCCCATTTTCTCTAATCTCTTAATACCTCGCCCAACAGGATCTTGATGACGTCTTACAACCAAATATTCTAGGCCCGTCCTCTCAAGCTGTACTTTGATCCTCGGATCTCCTTTTCCATCTCCGCCCATTAAGTATCCTCCATTACCCATCCCCATTCCCATCCCTAGACCCATTCCAGGCCCGAATCCCATACTGCTTGCGCCACCATGATTACCCATTCCCATACCACCATTCAATAATGACAATGCACCTAAGCCCTCTCTCTGGGGTTCAATATTCGACGATGCTCTTTGAAGCCAAAGTTTCTGTTGCGTGCGCGAATTATATGCATTAGGCGGTCCCGAAACACCACTTGTAGAACTCTTTCGACTTCGAGGCAATAGAGCCGATTCCTCTTCTTCATCAACATTATGTTTTGTCAAATTCCCCATCGACTTCGCCCTTGCCATTTCCCCAATCCCGCCATGCGTTTTTTCCAATGCACTGCCATTGATAGCGCCCGTCCTAGATTCTTCCCCATGATCCGGCGGAGGAAACTTCGGGCTATTTTCCCCTGGTGTCCCAGCATCTCCTACGAATCTCGATATCAATTCCTGATTTCCACTCGCGATACTCGCACCCATACTCTTTACCATCCCCGTCGATCGATCCATGCTACCAGAATGTGCATGCGCCATTTTTGGCGTTGGTTTCGCAGTCGCCATGCTCATTTTGGTCTCCGAAGCCAAATGAGACGGTGTTCTCTGAAGTAATTTCTCTGTAATCAATTTTGCGTCTGCGGTTGAATAACTATTTCTATTCGCTTTCGTGTTTGTATCTGTCTTTGCACTACCATTCCCATCAAAGTGATCAATTGGGGCCTTCGCAAAATCCCTCACAGAATCCGGACCGTTAGTCCGTTTGGCTTTCGGCGATGAAAGAGGGGATTGATGTCGAGAATTAGCTGCGGAATTGGCGGCGGATGGTTTGGCAGATGTATTTACACTGCGACTCAAAGCCGGACTTGCGGTCGAACTTGCTTCTTCCCAACCTTCTTCGTTGTCGTCTTCGACTTCCGTTTTCCCCGGGGTACCTATACCCAATTCAAAATGTACACTATTCGGTCTCTTTTTACCCTGCTGCTCATCCGAGTTCTTAGATTTTCTCGATTGCCCCGTGGTATTCTGTACATCTGCCGAGCTACGATTACGTTTCAGGGCCGTCTGCGAAATATTTTTCTGCCGATTGAGGTTCGTGCTCGAATTGTGTGGTTTGTCCCACGGCGCTTGAAATTCCTTCAAACTATCGTTGCTCGTAGTATGGCTGTGATGATGATTGTGGTTATTCGTGCTCGATGTACGAGATAATTTATGCAGCGCCTTATTACTGCTCACACGTCCGTATTTGCCGTGACCAACTACGTGTTTGCGCTCGCCTTTGCCTTTGGGTTCTTTATGCTGTGTAGCAGTTGTACCTGAAGCTGGAGGTGTACCCGCCGGACTATCGCTTTGGTGGCTGGTGACCGAGGACGTGGATCGGTGATGGGCCGCCAGATTGGGCCGTAATTGCGATTGGGATTGCGATTGGGAGGCGTCTTCTGAAGGAGCATGAGGGGACATTTTAATTGTCGTTTGCTTTAGTGTAGACGTAATGTATGTGATTGATGCAGGGCTGAAAATCGTGAGAGGTGATTGTGTACTTTTTTATGGATTGAGATGCAGGACGTCTGGAGGTTGATGTGTTGGTGCGAGCCGATTGCTAGACTGGTGGACTACTCCATAGAAAGCCAAACTTACGTAGTTCTAGATCATGTTCTGTGGGGTGCAGTTCTTTATTCACTTCTACTTGAGAATATATGTGTAGGTACATTTTTGTAATTTGGTGATTGGGTGTATCAATTGTTTATTACACAGTGAAGTCGTATCCAAATATTCATGAAGCAATTATTTTAATCTGACATTGATGCTAGCTACGACACTAGCCTTGTTCAAGAGGCTGAATGAAGGAAGGAAGGAAGGAAGGGAAAAGGGGTAAATGATACCCCATTGCTGCTCTATATACATCTTCAATTATCATGTAGTATTTAGCCAAATTTCAAATACTACGCAAAAGTTTTGATCATTGCTAGATATACACATTATTATCATCATTTTCCAATGAGGATTTGGATATTAGAAATCATGACAATTGGAAACTCTCAGATAGGTTTTAGCTTAAATGGGCCTGAAACATTTCAACAACCACTCACATACATTTTATTGCTCATCAAATATAATAGTAAATTTTGTTCATTCAGTTATCTGATATTGATGCTTGATGATACATCCGGTACATCCGATACATCCCATTAATAAAGAACGCCAGCAAATGTTTGCTTAAATCAAAAATCAAAACCCCTTATTATATACAGACCTTAGACCTTAACAGCTGGTCCTGCTGCAATGACATCCTCAGTAGCTTCCGACTGGTATTTCTTAAAGTTCTCAACGAAGAGACCACCAAGTTTGGTGACCTCGGCTTTGAAACTGTCATCTCCTTGACTCCATGCATTTCTTGGGTTCAACAATTCCGATGGAACATTGGTGCAAGTCTTTGGTACTTGGAGGTTGAAGGTATCGTAATTTTCATACTCAACCTTTGCAAGCTCTCCAGAGTGAATTGCGTCAAGGATAGCACGAGTGTATTTCAATCTAGTTCATATTAGCATATATTATACCGGAAGATTTTAATTGTACTTACGGGCAACGCTTGCCACCAGTGGTAGCACCAGCTCCAACCCATCCAGTGTTCAACAACCAAGCATTAGCCTTGTGGTGCTCAATCTTCTCAGCCAACATCTTAGCATAACGCATTGGGTGTAAAGCCAAGAAAGGTTGAGCGAAGCAAGATGAGAAGGTAGCCTGTGGCTCTGTGACACCATCTTCGGTACCGGCCATCTTTGAGGTGTAACCGGAGATGAAGTGGAACATGGTTTGGGCGGAGTTAAGCTTGGAAATGGGTGGAAGAACACCACGAGCATCACATGTTAGAAGAATGATGTTGCTTGGGTGGTTTGTCGATAGACAAGGAATCTTGGCGTTGGAAATGTACTCAATTGGGTATGCGCAACGGGTGTTCTCAGTCAAGGTTGAATCGTCATAGTCAACAAGACGAGTATCTGGGTCAAAGACAACGTTCTCAAGAACAGAGCCAAATTGGATAGCACCGAAAATATCAGGTTCCTTCTCTGCCGAAAGACCGATGCACTTGGCGTAGCACTGCAGATTGTTAGCTTGGTCCAATGTGATACAGAGGCTGAAACACTTACACCACCCTCGATGTTGAAAACACCACGGTCACTCCAGCAGTGCTCATCGTCACCAATCAAGGCACGGTTGGGGTCTGCTGAAAGTGTTGTTTTACCGGTACCCGAAAGACCAAAGAAGACAGTGACGTCTCCGTCTTTACCTTCGTTGGCTGACGAGTGAAGAGTGAGAACGTTGTGCTTAACAGGCATCTCATAGAAGAGAACTGTGAAAACACCCTTCTTCATCTCTCCGGCATATTCAGTACCCAAGATAACCATCTCCTTCGCTGCAAAGTTGATAGCAACTGAAGTACCTGAAGTCATACCCTCGGTATATCTGTTGGCAGGGAAAGATCCTGCGTTGTAAATAGTATAATCTGGGTGGAAATGTTCGAGATCTTTGCGATCAGGTCTAATGAGCATATTGCGCATGAAAAGAGCGTGATAGGCACGAGCGCATACGACTCGAACCTTGATTCTGTATTTCTCATCCCATCCTGCGAAACCATCGACGACATAAATACGATTTCTCGTATTCAAATAATCAATTGCACGTTCACGGTTGATTCTCCATACCTGTTATTGATGTTAGTTTATTAAATTTTAAACATTCAAATATTCAAAGATATGGCTCGCACGCGACATGAAAAGGGGGAACATAACAGCTAATAACTAATAGCAGCAAGATCGGGAGAATATCGGTTTATATGCACCCCGCATTTTCGCTTGGGGATGGAAGGAAAAAGATAAAGCCGAGGATACCCAAAAGCTTATGACGTAGAAATGTGCGGGGAAATCTCTTTAGAAAGATTGTTTGTGTTTTGTATGAAGGAAAGGGGAATTGATAAGTTGTAGATATGAAGATGTGCTTGAAATTATTGAGATGAAATTGCTGTTTCCGAAATCCGTAGAGCCAATGTAAATTTCCTTGACTGAAAACGTATTGTATTGATTTCCATGAATAAATAGAAAAACAAGACACAAGAAACAAACGTAAAGAGAGAGAGAGAGGTTCTTCTTACATCAGGTGTCATTGGTTTGTTGACTGGACCCCACCAAATCTCATTTTCAGATGATGGTTCTTTGACAATTCTCTTGTCTAAAGGCGAGCGACCTGTCTTGGCTCCTGAGTATGCAGTAAGGGCACCGGTAGATGTGATGGCAGAACCAGTTTCGTAAACAAGGGCATCTTCGTAAAGGGCAGCGACACTTGGATTAGGAACCTAGAAAAGAATAGAAATTAGCAACTGGCAGATTCAAAGAGGGGTAAAATACATACAATAGCTACACGATCATAATCGATATGTGCGTTCTCGTGAAGTTCCTCCTCAAGCTCAGTGTGCTCAACTTGTGGTTGTACACCGCTTGGGTGAAGTGCTATAAAGAATAATGTTAGCAAATTGAATTTGCATAATAGCTATAGCGTAACGTGTTCGTAGAGTTAGGAGTTGAAAGGCTTTGGATGAATTGCTAAAGTCGAAGGTATATCGACATCCAATTTGACCTGAACATCAGATGCCAGGTCGAAAGCAGCAGGTCTGAAGCAGCAGGTCTGAAGCAGCAGGTCTGAAGCAGTTCTGAAGCAGTGGGAGTATGAAGAAGGGTATACTGACATGTGCGGTTAACACTGGGATTTGTAGAAACCATTTTGAGAGTGGAGAGTGATGAAGAATGATAGTTGTTTGTAGGTTGGTGTTGTGCAAGAAGATGAGAAGGGCCAACACTGTTTTTATCAGGATATGGAGATGCAGTTCTTTGAATGGGATCGAAAGCCTTCTTATTCAAATTTGAGGTCGACATCGTTCGGGTAGTGTATCTTTGATTATGCCGAGTTTGGATGAAGCTGTCGTAGTAGTGGAGTAGTGAAGACGGCGTATAACGAATTACGCTAATTTTATTGGCCGGAATGGGTGATGCCGGAAAGGAAATATTATTATTTCGGGCGCACCGGAAAACTACGGAATGTAAAGGTTTCAGTGTTGAACACGATAAAGTACGATGCGTAAAACTAGTTGGGACAATAAATAATTGAGGATTGACCCGCATGTCCGAGGCAGAATGATATCAGATCCAAGCGGTGGTTATCAAATTAACGATAATCTGCAGTAGCTAGATACAAGAACAAAGCAGGATAGGACAGGACAGGGGGGTGAAGCAAACAAAACACACACTTGGGAGGAAATGATCAGAAATTGGTGAATATCGTGGTTTCCATCTAAAAAGGGGATCTACACCTGCATTTTACGATATCATCATACCATTCATCATACCATTCATCCGAAGTGGTAACATTGTACGACAAAACGGTTTTATGCTCGACTCGAATTCAGCCGCTGTTGCTCTTGAAACTGGATCGACTATTAGGTAGAATTATAGTTGCATTGCATTTATCAAATTAAATAAGCTTTCTGGGGAGAGAAAATGCGAGTAAGTTACCTTCTATTGTAATCAAGCCTTCCCCATGGAGTGGATAGATGATTAGATGCTTGGGAATTCTCAAGTAGTTGTTTGCTCACACGACCATCAATAAAACTTGTTACAATACAACAATTGAAATGGATCTATTCATAATAAGCGCCAGTAGAAATGGACAATGCATTCTTACCATTTGGAGCGTAAACAATGTGGTATATCTTCTTCAATGGGTGGCTCGGCTCACCAACCATAAACAAGATGATTGTTATTTCTCATCTGTTACCCCAGTGCCCCCTCTTTGGGCCTCGTGGTGTGGAGATACAACACCACGGTACCGTACTGGTGGCTAATCTCCCGTCGTGTGGAAAAGCGTGGGATATCGATAACGTACTCCCTGTCGTCAAATTTTCCCATTTCCCATTCATAGGGGTAATCCCCACAACTTGGCATTCACATGCTCCGAAGTTCCCCGCAAACTGATTCGGGTAGTCTAACTTTTACGTCTTCTCAGCCCTCTAAGCCCTCAAAGCCCTCAAAGCCCCCCTTAAACTTCGGATTAACCCTTACACGTGCCTTGGTCGAGAACCAATCTTTGGCTTCGGGTAGCAAATCGGTACCTAATCGTATCTATTTTGAGGGTCCCATTGGTCCGTTGACTAATTTGAGGCTTATTCTTCTTCTATTAAGTCTAAGAGTCTATGCGCCCAAAAGATTCATGATATTTAGCGGGGCATTGAAGTCATTAATAGACGCTTAATTACTTAATTTGGATCAAACGAAAACAGAAATCTGGAGAAAGAACAGGACGGGGACGAAAACAGTCGCTGTTCTAAGACAACCATTTCTATGGGTCTTGTCTTACCGTGTTTGATGGAAAAATTCTTACCCGAGGCATCTCACGTGGCTTTTCCGGTAACG